CGAACCCGTCCCGTTCTTAGCTGTGCCGTGGGCAGTTTTCCCAAAGGTCGGTTTGGACTAAGTACTTCAGCCAGTCGTAGCAAGGAGCACGCTCCCTTGAGACTCATGGCACAGATCCTGTGCAAACGCAGTACTGTGCAAGTGCGAGGATTGACGTCATGGTGCTGATTCCCAAGAAGTCCCGCCGGGCCATTCTCGAGCACCTCTTCAAGGAAGGTGTCATGGTTGTGAAGAAAGACTACCAGGCGTGCAAGCACAACGAGCTGGAAGACATCCCCAACCTGCATGTCATGATGGTGCTGCGATCGCTGGCTTCCCGCAACTACCTGTCGGAGATCTACAGCTGGCAGTGGCATTACTACACCCTGACCAACGAGGGCATCGAATACCTCCGTGAGGTGCTTCACCTCCCTCAGCAGGTGTTCCCGCAGACCCTGACCAAGCAGCGCCCCACCCGACCTGCATTGGCGGGTGGCGACTCCTCCGAGGGAAACAGCAAGGGCAAGGGCAAGGGCAAGGGCTGGAACCGCGAGGAGCTGCGATCTGTGTGTGGTGTTCTTGCATAAGTACAGAGGTTGTTCAGTGCCGTTTGGAAAGATCAGCCGTTGAATCGATTGCATAGATGTGTAGGTTTGCTTCCGATCGGTTTCAGGAGGAGGGCTAAATGTCGGCAAAGATGCGAAGCAGTGAATATCGGACCTTGCAGAACTTGGAGTCTTGAGCAGTTGCGTGCGGAAGATCACCTAAAAGATGCGTGGAATTGAATTTACTGGGTGCATGACCTATGGCGTCCCGAGTATGCGAGAGGCGTCTCGGGAGGGGCGTCACAAGGTGAATACAGTATTTCAATTTCCATAGGTAACAGGTGTTGACGTTTTAGTTACAATCGAGGCGTCTATTTGCGGTTTTTATTGTGCGTTCGGAACACTGGTTGCCTGGCTGTTCGAGCATCTACATGGGGAATGGCTGGCTGTGATGCGCTGTCACGGTTGTGCCGATGAGCAGGTGCTTGCGAAAGCAAGTGTCTGCGAGTGGGATGGATGGCTGTGATGTGCTGTCACTGTGTTGCCAGTGTGTGTCCTGAGTGGATGCTTGCGGCATCCGGCGTCTACATGGGGAAAGGCTGCTTTGTATGCGTTGTCATTCCACCGATGTGTGTCTCGCCTACTGAATTTACATGGGGAAAGAGTTATTGCATTGGAGGCGTGAAGTTAAGGCTCGTGAAATCGAGTGTCTACATGGAGAGTAGCTGGTTCTGATGTGTTATGATTCCACCGACGTGTGTCTTGCGCGGGTGCTTCTCAAATCGAGTGTCGACATGGGGAATGGCTTGGTCTGGTGGATGCAACCTTGCTGACGGGGAAGGCCGGATAAGGCCAGGTTGAGGCAAGATGCTCGCGAGATGGCGTCTATATAGAATGGCAGCTTCTGATAGAATATACTGCCATGGATGGGATTTTGGAACGAATATTTGAGAATATCTATATGGAATTTCGATTCTATTCAAGGAGATTTTCTGATATAAATTTAAAATTAATCTCATATATTTTAAGAATTCTATAAATTTCATAAGAAATCTATTTAATTTCGAATATAAATAAATACTATAATTATTTAAGCTCAAATACAATATAATACATAAAATTATTTTTATTATATAATTTTCTTAGATAATTATAAAAACAAAATTTTCTGATCGATATTTATATATATTTATTTATAAGGAGAATAATTTATAGATATATATTTATTATATTTATTATTTTGTTAAAAATATATAAACCTATGAAATTGATAAATATAAATTTGAAAATATTTATGCAAAAATAATCTCTATATTATCAAATTCGTGCGAAATGAAAATATATCATAGATTCTTATAGAATTTTTCTTATATTATTTAATGTATATATTCTCTTAGCATTTATATAAAAAGAATCTATAAAGCAAATAAGGAAAATTAGAATTATATATATTTGAATAAATAATCTAGATCATACTATTTTATTATATTACATATAAATTATGTATAATATTTCTAAAAAAGATTTATGAATTATGCTAGACTATTAATTAATAATTATTTTATGATAAAAAAAATCATCATATATTTATATACTACTATAGATGATATTCTAGGAGATATTCTTAATAATGCGTTATTTAATTTTATCTCATAATTGGGTCCTGTGGTTCCGCCCCGATTTGATTTGAATGATTCATAATCTATAAATTTTCAAGAAAGGGATCTTCTCATTTAGATTTATATTTTATGATCTTTAGTCGGATTCAATTTCTAATAAATCGACTACGAATTCAGATTTTTTGATATATATGTGATATTTTATCTATCTGGTGATTTCTATCGAGAATATTATCGATAAAAATCTTTATGATTTATATATATATGATATGAATTATATTCAAAAGATATTTATACTTATATATAAATCATATAATTCTTTAAATTGCAGCATATTAATATAAATTCGCTTTCTATAAATAATATCTAGGAATAAATTATCTTTATTATTCATAACTTTAGCTGAAGATCTTAATTCTATTAATTATTATTCATATGCCTGCTTCCATTCGCCTTTCTCTTCTTCTCTCATATATAATTTAATTCCCACCCATAATCCTAATCTCCGCAATACCCCCATAATACGCGCACAACGCACACGCACACACTTACCCATCCACACACACACACACACAACACAACAACACACGCACATACAAAAACACACACACACAGACACACAGACAACGCCGGACCGACCCCGCGCGCGCGCCCTTGACCGCGGCAGTCGCGGCCTTTGCTGCTCCTGCATGTCTCGGTCCGACCCCTGCGCGCGCGTTCTGATCCGAAGCAGCGTATAGATATTTATATTCCTATTTCTTCTTCTTCAATCTCTATCGTATATATAATATACTAGAGGAGCAAGAGATCGCGATTATATATCTCTCTCAGAAGTAAGATCTATGATATTGCCAAAGATATATCCTAATAAAAATTATCTCTAGATTCTGCTTAATTCCATACTCAGATGAGCCCAGAAGATAAAATTGAAATATCAATTTAATCTCCCGATAATATTTGAAATTATATGCAATTCAAAAATAAAGCTTTGGAGCTCCCTTGCCATACCGGATATGCTATATGAATGATATGGGTATATTATATTAGACTGATATATATGAATATTATATATATGAGGAAATTAGATATTAAGATAATAAATTTAGTATATATAATTTATATTTTTTTTAAGAAATAAAGGAAATAAAACAAATGAAAGAAAGGCAAGGTGAGAAAAATCGTAAATATTATATATATTGATATTTATATACATTATATGGGTCTGGATTCTATAATTTAAGCCTTTTTTATATTTTTTTATTTAATGGAAATAAAGAAATAAGAATAAATGCTCGAAATATGAAGAGAATATATGATATGAGCACGATATAGGATTCTATTGAATTAAATAAGAGTAGCAAATATCGTATATATCGAATTCTCAAGAAATTTCGAATTCTAGATATTTTTGAAAGATGAATAGATATCAAGTAATTTATAGAAATATTCATATTTTTGAATATTTCTTGAATATGAAATATCAAATAACAATATTCAAAGAAATGATATATAGCTTCCATCTCGCACGATCTAGAGCGCGCGCGGATCGTTCAGGGATTTGTAGGGGCAACGATAAGGAGTCGCCTGAGATTTGTAGAAGTAGTAAATACTTCTCGAAATATTTACTAGCTATTTATCTTCTTTCGAAAAAATTCTAAAAAGCTATTATATCGGCAGACTAATCTGACTACAAAATAATATAATCAATAAAGAATTCTTACTATATCATCTATCTAATAATTATTTAAAAGATCCATATAATTATAAAATTAGAAGATTCCTTTGCGAGAGATATCATGAATTACCTTCATGCCTTTAATATAAGCAATTCATTTATGTAGATATAAAATATAAGCATATAACGACACCCAATAAATAAAAGATGCAATAGAATAATTACAAGATATATATCCATATTATATTTGCTAACCTTATATCCTCTAAAAAAATTATTCCTTTGCTTTCAATACCTCTCTTTTCTCTTTTTCAAAATTTAAATAATTTCTTTTACAAATTAATAATAAAGAAAATAATAAATACTATATTTAATTAATATTTTTACCGATTTTATATTTCTAATATATATAAGAAAGAAATATATATTTTTTTATCAAATATGATATTTAAAAACGAAATTTATGAAATATAAGAAAGAAATTTAAGACCTACTACAGTACCTCTACCTCTACTACTACTACGACGACAACTGCAACGACGACTGACAATAATATTAGAACTCGTGCTCGGAGTCGTGCTCGTGCACGTACTCCTACTACAGTACTACCACCACCACCAATGACGACTGCTACTTATGACGGCGGTGCCAAGTGCAATCACACAGGGGTCAACAAGGTGATGCATCTGGATGGAAGCCCTGCTATAATACCTGAATGAGAAGCTGAAACCGATGATTACATCCAACACAGAGTTTTCGACGGCTCTCATGCAAAACCTGTGCATCACCCAGCTTACAGCTAGCTTCGCTGGTTCCTGGGAGTCTGCGTTCGGAAACAAACATTTAGAAAGAGCGCGGCGGCGGGGCAGCAGAATCACACCGGTGTGGATTATAAATTGTTGGTGTATTGCTAGTGATAGTGGTGTGTTCCGCCTGCTGTTCGCAGCAAGCGGGTGTTGCCACGAGCTGAACCACATGGCAAGCTCTTCGGAGCTTTCCGGGTTGATTGCCATGGTTTTCTGTTGGGGTCTTTGGCCCCAACACAGAAACTTCAGAAACATATACTAAATAAAGTCTTTAAAAGCCTCAGCAGCCGGAGCGCGCAGCGTCTTGCACCAGTGGCGTCTTTCTTGGCGCAGCTGCGGAAACGAAGCCCAAGCATGCCTATGAGGATCGGTGAACCTACGACCACGCTTCCACAGTGTAGCGTCCCTCCATCTTCAAGTTGGAAAGGATGGCTTCGGCGTCTTCCTCACCCACGCGCTCGTTGGCCATCATCACCTCCTTCATGGCCGTGTAAATGTCCTGAACGACCGTGTGGCACTGGCAATCAGCAAGTTAGAAATAAGACATAGCCTCTGCTACTTCTGTTTGAGCCAATTAGGTTCTCAAGTCCTCTGGCACTTGCCGGGCACTGCCACAGACGTAGAAATGGCCGTTTTGCCGCAGCATGTACTCGGCCACCTTCTCACCGGCCTCCATGATGCGGTGCTGAACCTTAGCCGAGGGGCCTCTCAAAGAGGGAAGCGTTCTGCGAAGTCCTGTCTGCAGGAAAGGCACGTAGATCTTTCGAGCCTGCTCGCGCGAAAAAGCCGTGTGCATGGAGAGCACGCCCTCCTTGACGTAGCTCTCGAACTCGTCCTTGTAGAGATACTCGACGGCATAACGTGCGCCGAAGAAGAGCATGCACGGGCCCACCTTCTGGCCCTGGCGATGCTGGCAAATACGCTCCTGCGTGACCGCCCTCCACGGTGCCAAGCCCGTGCCCATGCCAGCCATGAGAACTGGGCTGCTCGGATCCTTCGGCAGGACGATGGCACTGGAACGCACAGCACACATGATCGAAGCACCGGGCTGCTGTTTTTGCATGTAGCCGGTGCACTCGCCGATTCGCAGCTCCTGGGTGGTCTCAACCTTCCAGTCTACAAGCACAACGCAAAGCTGGATCTTGTCTGGGTGCATAAGCGGGGAGCTAGCAATGGAATAACTTCTGGGCTTCAGCACCGGAATCATATTCAGCAGCTGCTCGATGGGAGGGCGGGCGCTTTGGAACTTCCGCAGCACGTCCGCATGGTGAGCAAAGTCGTGCGTGAGGTCACGGTACAGAGCTTGGCCCTCGGCGCTGTTCTCCACGATGGATCGCAGCTGGCTTCGTTCCTTGTCGTCTTTGGCAAAGAGCGACAAAGTCTCAAAGAACTTGCGGTTGGGCTTGCCGAAGATGTCGAGGACATGGGAGAAGAGCTGGCGGACATTGAGGTCCATAGGACACCAGTTCCTGGCACCCTCCAGTGGCAGCACGCGCAGCTGCTGGCCTGCATCAAGCCCCATGTCAGTGCAGAACTCCAGGACCTTGTCGATAGGATTCCGCGGCCAAATGGCCAAGCTCTCGCCGGTCTTGTAGGAGACTGACGTACCCTCGATCTTGAACTCGTAGTGGCGGATGTCCCGGTCATACTTGGCATCACCCGTGAGGACGGAGTTGTGCAGCAGGGTGAGTTTGGTGGCGCCGGGCGGGACGATGTCATCATCCTTCACCGGGGGCTTCTCCACGGACCCGGCACTGACATCCACCCGGTAGCACGGGGTCGGGGCCTCTTGGCTCAGCGGCAGCTGTGGGAGGCCAAGCACCTGCACAAACAAAGGAAGGGTGTGGGGATGCGCTGGGGGACTAAAGTAATACTGTATAATGCGACTAAAGTGGTACTATAACCATCTTACAATACTACCAGAATAATACTATACCTCAGCAGGCCCCGTGGCAATCTTGTTACGCCCTGACCCCGCCTGCCAGAGCTCCGGGAGCCAAGCCTCCCAGCCGGTGTAGTAACGGTCCTCATCCCGATCGTCGCCGACGCCACGCTTGAGCATGCGCTGGGCGCCCAGCTCGCCGAGGCGGGTGTCAAAGCCGATAGCCGCCACGCAGAACTGCGAGTAGGTGGAGTCGCCAAGGCCGAAAACGGCGAATTTGGTTCCCGACAGCCAGCTCATTGGCAGCTCCTGGGACTGAAGCTTCATCCATGTCTGCTTGCAGTTTGCCGGGTACTCGCCGAGACCACAGGTGGAGACAACCAGGATCACGATCTTCTGGTTGGGCAGCTCTTCAAAGTCGAAGTCGTCCATGGCTGTGCAAGTGGCCTTGAGCCCCCGAGCCATGATGTCCTGCATGAGGTTCTTGGCCTGCTCCTCTGAGTTCCCCGTCTCACTGCCATAGAGGATGGTCACAGAGTTGCCAGCGGAGCTAGCATCCGAGAGGCCCTCCACGAGCTTGTGGAATTGGCCCTCCAGATCGTCCTTGTTTAAGACCTGCAGGAGGTGGTTCTTCTGGACCAGCTGCTCCTTCAGCTTGTCATCCAGCTCCTGGGCGTGCTTAGGGTCGCGGCGCATCACGGCCGCGAAGCGGTTCTCCTTGGCCAGGAACTTGAAGAGGTCACCCTTAATCTTCTTGCTGTCAAGTTGGAAGGGGTTGTTGCCATGAGTGGCAGCGTCAGGGTTGTAGCGATAGAGCGGCCAGTAGCCCGAGTCCACCGCCATCTGGCAGTGCTGGATGGACTCTGCCATGGGGAAGCCCTGGCTGATGCACGGAGAGTAAGCCAGGATGATGCTAGGGCCTGCATAGGCGTCGGCCTCCAGCATGGCCCTCACAGCCTGCTGCGGGTTTACGTGCACACAGATGCTGGCCACGTAGACGTTCTTGTAGGTCATGGCCAGCTGCCCCATGTCCTTCTTCGCTGTCAACTTACCGCCCTCGGCAAACTTAGCCATGGCACCCTTGGGCGTGGACTTCGAAGCCTGGCCGCCAGTGTTGCTATACATCTCCGTGTCCAGCACAAGGATGTTCACGTGCTCTTCACTGGCGATGACGTGGTCCAGGCCGCCGTAACCGATGTCGTATGCCCAGCCGTCGCCGCCGACCATCCAGAAGCTGGAGCGGCCGAACATGTCCTCCAGATCATGGAGGTACTTCAACTTGGGGTGACTGTCCTTCTCCTTCAAAAGGAGGGGCTCCAACTTCTCCATGATTTGATGGTAGATGCTGCGGCCGCGGGGCAGCAGGAGGTCATGCATCTGCTCCTTGCGCATGACCAGGTACTGCTGGAGGGCCTGGCGCAGCTCGTCGGACATGATCACAGTCTTGTCGCCCAGGGCGTCCTCGACCTGCATGGCCAAGTAGTCCCGGCGCTGCTTGAAGGCCTTGCGCATGCCAAAGCCGAACTCTGCGTTGTCCTCAAAGAGGGAGTTTGCCCAGGCGGGGCCCTCGCCCTTGCTGTTGACCGTGTATGGGAAGGACGGATTGGATCCGCCCCAGATCGAGGAGCAGCCAGTGGCATTAGCGATGACCAGCCGTTCTCCGAAAAGCTGGGTCATGAGCTTCACGTGCGGTGTCTCGCCGCAGCCCTCGCAGGCTCCCGAGAACTCAAGATATGGTTTCTGAAACCTCACAAGGCCGTGGCACAGCACAGGCCACACAAACTCGTACAGACGCAGTGGTTGCTGGGATTCCGAGTCTCGAGAGAACACAAAAATCTCTCAAACCTACGAACCTTTGGCCCGAGGAGCTGGGAGCCCTTGACAGTCGTCTTGTCAATCTCATCACCTTTCGGGACACAAGCTGCGAACATCGTTGAATACAACTACTATGCCAAGACTCGACTATGCTATACTTCAGTGGTAAGATGTCGCGTCCTGGCTGCTCCTAGCTACATGTGCCATATCAGCGGAAGACCATCGCGCATCAAATCATCATCCGACTGCATGGCGGCATTGCCTCGGTCCGGCAGCGTCACTGCAAAGTTCCAGTTCGGCTCCTCCTGCTGGATCACCTGCATAGCTCTGCAAACTAAAATAAACTATACAATACGGTATAATGTATGTATACACGCATGTTGTATCATAACATCAGTGTAACTACAGAAGACCATACCATACTATACTACACTATGCTATACTATACTATACTGTACCGTACTGTACTACACTCTGTGATACGATACTATACGACACTGCGTATTATTGTGGACTATGCTGTATACTAAGTTCGACATATTACATACTATAGTACATACATATATATATATATATATACAGGATACCATACCCGTAAACCCTAAGCCCAAAAACCCTTTTTGCAACTGGCCTGCAACGACTCCGTTGGGTTGCAGGCAGTGGAAGCGTGTTCAACACACTTCCCTCTTAGCAGCATGCTCAGCACGAAGCCCTAAACGTCAAAAGCCCTAAACTCCCAGATCCCTCTTTCCCAAACTATTCCAACCCTAAACCCAAAACCCCACACCCTTTGCCAAAAGCCCTAGACGCAAAAAAGCCCTAAACCTTAAAAACCCCAAAAGCCCTAGGCCCTAAACGCAACAAACCCAAAACCCCAAAACCCTAACCCCAAACTGTACGTGGCCTGCCCAGCTGGGCTCAGCTTCAGCGCATCGGCCGGGCAGATACGGACGCAGAGCTCGCAGCCCGTGCAGTCCCATGGGGAGACCTCTGAGTGTAACAAAGGTTCAGGGGTTCAGGGGCTTAGTGCAAAGACTGCAACAGCATGTATAGCACACTTGTGGAACTTTAGTAGTCTACTACGGTCTATAGCATAGTAGACTATTTACATTACGGTGCTGCAGCATCGTCCATAGTATGGCTGCGCCAGCAACGATGCCCGCAGCAATCCAAGGCATGAGAGCGGTTAAATCCAGCTTCCCTTCCGGGAGGACCCGCCTGGATGCGGTACTGGTAGTTGTCCAGCACGCCGCCGCCAATGGCAGCACGGCTGCCAGCCCTGAAGTCCTGGGGGGCATTGCTCAGCTCCTGCGTGGTGGCCAGGAAGGGCCGCACGGCAGCGTGGGGGCAAATAAGGCTGCACTTGTTGCACTGCGTGCACTTGTCCATGTCAACTGTGGGCACGTTGATGGCGATGCCACGCTTCTCATACTGGCTGGTACCCAAGGGCACACGGCCACCAGGGACGAAGGTGCTCACGGGCAAGGCATTCCCATCCAGATTGTTGCAATGACTTTGGACTTGCTTTGCAAACTGATCTGAGGTCATGTCCACAATAGTCCTGGGTCCCTTCTTGAAAGTGGATGACTCGCCAGACTGCTCCTCCACGGTGAGGGATGCCCAGGAACTCGGCACCGGGCACTCCACGATGCCCGTGACCGACGCATCCACGCCGTCGATGTTCATCTTGACCACGGCATCACCTTTCTTGCCATACATCTTCTTGATGCTCTTCTTCAACATCTCGATGGCCTCCTCGTAGGGCATGACGCCAGAGAGCTTGAAGAAGACGGACTGCATGATCATGTTGATGCGCTTGCCCAGGCCTGCCTTCACGGCGATCTGCGTCGCATCGATGATGTACAGCTTCGCCTGCTATAAGAGGCCATAATTGTACGATATACTATAAGGGTGTTATAAGACTATAATAATACAATAATATTAAAATAATTGGGCTATAATATAATTATCGTACAAGTAGAGGCCCTATAGAGCTTCGCCTGCTTCGTGGCCAGGTCTCGGCGCATCTTCGCGGGCAGGTGCCTGGCATGTGCCACATATACACCACACCAGGAAGCTAACTCCCTACCATTCTAGAGTAGTCGAATATAGGGTACTATTATAGAGTACTCTAATATAGTATTCTATTTTCTGCTACCCATTCTGTAGCCTAGTCATACCGTGATCCGCGATTGCAAGGCAAGTCTCTTCTCGAGCTCGGCCGGGGTCCAGGAGCAGTTGATGACGCAAACGCCGTTTGGTTTCAAGTAGCGGGTCATGTCGTAGTTGGTGACATAGCTGGACTTGTGCACGGCGAGGTAATTGGCAGAGCGCACGTTGTAGGGTGCATGGATAGGCTTGGGGCCGAAGCGGAGGTGGCTGATGGTAACACCACCGCTCTTCTTAGCATCGTACTCAAAGTAGGCCTGAGCATAAAGCTCCGTGCCCAGCGCGATCATCTTCACTGCACTCTTGTTGGCGCCCACGGTGCCGTCGCTGCCCAAGCCGTAGAACATGCACTCCGTAGTGCCCTGTGGGAGCACGTCCAGCCAGTCGCCAACAGGCAGCGAGAGGTTCGTCACATCGTCGTTGATGCCCACGGTGAAGCGTGGCTTCGGGGTTTCCTTGGCCAGGTTTTCGTAGATGGAGAGCACCATGTTGGGAGTAAATTCCTTGGAGCCCAGGCCATAGCGGCCACCAATGCAGATGATGTCGGCTCTCCCTGACAGCTGCAGTGTAGAGGAGACCTCCAGGAAGAGCGAACCCCAATCTCAACTATAAACCCCAAATCCCAAAGCCCTAAAAACCTAAAAGCGGTATACCAAGTAATAACAATGATATCGCATTTGTAGTGGTAATAATAATGTAGCAATATAGTAATAATCACATTTATGAGAGTGAATAGCAATTAGTAATTTTAGTATACCCCAACCTCCAGGAAGAGCGGCTCCCCCTGAGAGCCTGGCTCCTTGGTCCGGTCCAGCACGCAGATTCTCTCTGTCGTCTTTGGGAGGGCCGCCAAAAATCGGGAAGTGTCCCAAGGCCGGAAGAGGCGCACCTTCAGCACTCCCACCTCAAGGGGCAGAATAGCGCTTCCAGGGTGTAGGAATTGAGGGTTCAGGACTGGTTCAGAAAGTAGGGTTTTAGGGTCCGGGGATGCTTGAGTTTTTTTTCCCACCCGCTTCGCTGACTAGGAGGCTTTAGGGTTTCAGCGCTCACACTCGAGCAACTCAGGCGAGGCATGTGGTCTTAAGTCGGCGACGGTTTACGCTCTCGCAACTCGGACTTTTCTGTGTCCAACTACTCCAAAGACGACATTGTGAGCAGGCAATCACTTCTACACCAACCAAATATCATAAAAAACGACTTAGGGCTCAGCACTCCTGCCTTCTGGCCCTTGTCATGGAGGTACTTTGCAGTCTCGCTGCAGGTCACGGCGCCACTGCCCATCACCACGATGACGTTGGTGGCCTCTGGATGCCCCTCGTAGGCATAGAGAGCATAGTGCACACCTGCAGACACGCACGGGATCCCTCACCATCCCACATAGTTTTGCAAGTACCCAACCTGTCTTCTGCTCCACCAAGCGGGATTTGGCCTCAAAGAGGTCTGCGAGGTTGTCGTAGAAGGTGTTGCCGGCCTCACAGGTGGGCCCTGCTTTGCTGTGACCAGCGACAACGCAGTCAGTAGTGACAACTTGTACTCACATTGTTGAAACGGGAAAGAACAAGAACAAGAACAAGAGCAAGAGAAAGAACAATAACAAGAACAAAAACAATAACAAGAGCAAGAGAAAGAACAATAACAATAACAACAACAAGAACAATAACAACAACAAAAAACAACAATAACAACAAAAACAAAAACAAAAACAACAACAACAACAACAACAACAACAACAACAACAACAACAACAACGACAACAACGACAACAACAAGAACAATAACAATAACAATAACAAGAACAATAACAAGAACAGCAGCA